AAGAAAACACAAATATCCAGTGTGCAATCGACGTGGGCACAAGGAAAGTCATTGCCGGACACGAATAGCTAGTCGAAGACGCAGCCGGGGGTTACGAAGCAGAACCATATTCGAACCGGAAGCCCGTGTTGGAGACTACAAGCCACCTAGCGTGACTTTTCACATGGTCCGCGATGCCACCAAAAACGACAGCATACTACAGAGGGCAATGGAGTATCACCAATCCAGCTGACCACAGCCAGAAGAACCGTGGTCGCGCATCCATATGGATTTGCCGGGCCACTTAACGGACAAAGCTTCCTCATCGTTTCCGAAACATTCAGTCAGTGGCCCGATGTCCTTCTTGTGTCTGAGACAACAATGATAACAACCATCACTAAACTGTGGCATTTGTTTTCAATATTCGATACCCTAGAAACCATTGTTTCAGACAATGGTACTCAGTTCACGTCCCAACAGTCTTGTGAATTCGTTCGAAGACACGGCATCATACATGTTACTTCCCCACCAATCCATCCCCAATCCAACGGTCAAGCTGGATGGTTCGTAGACAATGCACTATTCATTAAGTTGCTGCAATCTCCTCGACAGCCCACGACCGGTTCCCCTCTTCTTGGAGCTCATCAGGTTGGCGCAGTCCCCGTCAACCTTATGTTCCATTTGAGCCCAAATTGCACGAAATTAGCGAAATACTCTCATTTGCAAACCAATTTGGTTTTGCAGGAGACTCATCTGAAACCCAGCTGAATCTCTCGTGTATGATGTTTTTGAGCTTAAAAACTGGACTGTCGGAGTCGTTCTCCAAGGAATTGGTAAGGTGATTTACAGCGTCCGAATATGCAAACGGCATGTCAATCAGCTACAGCCGACTGAGTGCCCGATCCCAAAAGCAGAGGAACAGTTACCAGACCTCAACCTGTTGCTCGAAACCTTTGATCTCCCAAGATCAGCGCCAATAGCCACTGCTCCTCATGTACCGTCCAAGACGCATCCACTGCTGCAACCAAGACGTCGTACGTAGTAACGGTATTTTTCTCAGCTTAGTTCTCTGTCTGAGCCTCCCAAGCTAGCGTTCTTGTCAAAACAACCACCAGAGGTGCACAAGGTATATTAATGCCCAAAACGAAGTCCGGAACACTTGTACAGCGCTTCATATATATATGGCGTAGGCGGCAATAACTTTCTGGAAATTCTGACGCGTTCTGGATGCGCCATTGGCAACCGTCATTTGGCCAATACTGGGTCGTGATTGGCTGTTAGGTCCAAACTTTCGACCAGTCAGATCTCGGCTTGATGCCGGACCGGCAAGCGTCCCCAATTCTTGGCCAGTCTTGAGTGGGATAGCTTCTCGGCCGTAGCAGCACCTGACTGCGAGCGGTAAAAAGGGGTCCGTGTGGAGTTCCACCTAACGTCGTACCGGTGGAACCTTTTCAACTTGATCCGCGCCGACCATCTTACGTTGAATGGTCAAAAGGGAGAGGTGTAAGGAAAGTCAGATTCTTGAAGATTATCCCAGGATACCCGAAAACTACTTAGACAGTCCTGGAGCAGAATCAGGCACTGCGACACAGCCTTGGATCAAGGTCAGACAGTGCCCCCTCACTATATAGCGCGAGACCGTTGCACCTTCGCACTCGCTTGCTGCAATAAAGCTGTTGTGTCACTTGTCGGCGAGTCTTTTTTCGGCACTAGGCACTGGAGGGTGGACAGCAGTTACGTATTACAGATTAACAGGCCTCATCAGTACACACTAACTGCTCACCAGTGCTGCCCTGTACGTGAGGTACAGTGGGGCGGGATGGAACAAGTGGTCAGAGCGCAAATTTACTGGCCGGCGGGTCTTCTGATTTTGTCTGTTTGGAAGCGGCTAGGTTGAACTTTCTCTTGTGACTATTGCAAAATATGAAAACGTTTTCTAGTATCGGTCGATGTTAAATGCAGTAGGAGAACGTCGCATGATGTAATCTTTTGGATTCATAATCTTGGTTTAGCTGGCTAGAAGTTCACCGTACCGGCTTAATCATACGTTTAGGAGGTTTACTGACGTCCATACAAGTTCTTCGGGTCTTCTGATTATATTGTTGAAACCACGCTTTGTCTTTTTGGAAGCGGTTAGGTTGAACTTTCTCTGGAGGAAGGTCAGCAATCTTGTGACTCCAGGTTCCTGGCTATTGCAAAAATATGAAAACGTTTTTCGGTATCGGTTGATTTTACATGCAGTAGAAGAGCGGCTTTTAAAGTGCGTCTTGTCTTCTCGCTCTTTCGGATTCAAAATCTTGGTTTGTCTGCCTAGAAGTTCACCGTACCGGTTTAATCATACGTTTAGGAGGTCTATTGACGTACATACAAGTGTTGTTTTTGGCACATACGACATGGTTTTCCCTTCTACACACCTGTAACTTTGTGTTTCATTTATTTTCAGCGAGCACACTCGTCTAGTCGGTGAAGACATCTACCTACAGAAACACGAAAGTCGCGTCCAAGATCACGATTTTCACACAGACGAGAAGACTGAAGAGCTGGGTGATGCTGCTGCAACTGCTAAGCCATCTAGCAAACATCGGGTCGACCAGACTATCATGAACCAAAACCTTCAAAATGGATTGCATTTAGTCCCTGTGGAAGACCCCATTCGTTTGGAGCAATTCGCTTTTTCCGAGGCTCTTGCTTTATCAGGTGTGTGCTTTACCCGTGCTCTTCATGTCCTCTATCTCATTTTGTTACGATTCTATGAAAACGAGAATTGCTGTAAGAGTCAGCTCTTTGGTTCCAAACATTTCTCGCTCAAAGTTTTTGCCATTATTTGTCTATGAATTACGGACGCTACTGAAAGTATCTCACACTTATGTATCCACCTTTGTTTCAAGTGATGACTGCGAAAATTCAAAGGGGGGTGTAGGATCTACTGACCTACTGGCTAGGCATCCGCGTATCTCTCATTTATCTGACTGTTCTTTAGTTTTCTCGTTTCGGCTTTCAACACATGCGTATGCCTTACTTGCTGTCTTCAGGTCGACGTCTTTTCGCACTGTTCTGTAGGCGGTCGTTAGCCCCTCTCTGTCAATTTTTCACTCTCGCGTTACTCGTTTTTATTGGTATATAGCGAGATGGCCCAAGTGGTTAGAGCACGAATTTACTGACCGGAAGGTCCGTGGTTCGAATCCGACCTTCTCCAGTCGACTTCCACTGTCTAGGTTTGGGCAACCTGGCAGTATCCCAGCCCTCGTGCTTCCTTCGGGTAACATGGCAGTTAGGCACCGAAAGGGTGCTACAGCTGGACGGTTTTTTGTAGTTACCGTTGATTTTTCTCATCGAGCGTCCCATCTATAGCCCACTTTTGCTAGATTTGATGGACTACCTTGATCATTCGCTACAAAGCAGATCTCCTTAGGCAACCACATATAGAGGAGATGCTTCCCCAAGTTTGTGTAAGGTGTGAACCAACGTTTCTCCCTGTCTAACCAACAGATCAGGTTGGCTTTCCGGAAGTCCTCCCTATAGTCAGCCCAGCTCGGCAGGCGCGCAGCGGGGTTTTCGTTCTAAATGCTCGAACATGACTCACGTTAATCGCTCGTCTCCTGCCGAATAAGCGCGGATGCCACGTGGGCTGTTTTTTTCTTTCTGAGCAAGTTACTCACCCTTTGTAAGTAGCGAGGTAACTTTCGGTCGCAAGTTTCGTTGTGTGAGCTAAATGCCCATAGTTGTGCACCTGTTTTACGCCTGCAAAACGCTATCGGCGGTACTCTTCTTGCACTTTTTTTGAAAAATTGAGACCCGATACCAGTTGGATAGCAGTTGTGCCCTACAACTAATTTGAACCTGAGCAGTTTGTCGAGCCATTCATCCTTCGGTCACACCATCCACAACACCTGGTCAGGTGTTGACCTGCTCTTCGAGTGATTAATTCTCAGGCAAAGGTCCGCGTTTCCTGTGAGATGTATCTGTTTAGCATCGGTATATGGTTTGCTATTAATAAACAACTTTTGGAGTTTTTAGTGGTTTATTTTTCTTGATGAAAATCGTTAGAGCAGCGCTGCAGTTTTCGCACTTACTTTTCGGCGAAATTATGCCGAAATAATTCCATTTTGCAAGGCGTTCGGTCCAGTGTGGCCTTCCGAGGTACAGTTTTGTAGAAAAACACTGAGTGAACACTAATCGGTGTCCAAGCTGAGCCCCTCGTCCGAACCCGGTGTCGATTTGCGGTCACCCAGTATCAGTCGAACTGACACGAATGTTTTATTACCACATTTTTGTCTTTCAGTCTTGTTCACCCTGAAAGTTGCGAGCCGAGATAAAACTGAATAAGAGTGGTCCCTGTTTATCGTCTAGTCACTCATGGTGGACAACCGTTCATCTGTAACACCTTTTCGGTGCCTAACTGCCATGCCACCTGAAGGAAGCACGAGGTCGCCTAAGCTTAGATGAGGGAAGTCGAGATGTAGAGGTCGGGTTCGAACCATGAACCTTCCTATCAGTAAATTCGCGCTCTAACTACTGTTTATTCGGTAACTCTGATCAAATCAGCTGGAGATGACTTGATAAATGTTCTGATTAGTGTGCACTTTCCAGGATAGAAGTCATGATCACTAGAACCATACGCACAAAGTGAAGAATACGTTCCAGCTGGATTCAGTAGTATAGACAACATTCGCCAATTATAAACACACTTATGGTTTTCAGACGTTTGCAATCGTTTCGGGGAAAAAGGACCGGATACGCATCTTTTGTATTCGTATCCTGCTTTTAACCACTGATCTCGTAATGTCGTGCTTTGATTGGTTCTGTCTTTTTTCGGGTCTTTCGGAGCTACCACTCAATTTGCCCTGATGAATATGTCCTCATTCGTTTGTTTGAGCATACATGTTTGTATCTCTCATGCCTTCTTTTTCGTTCTTTGACTTGCAGTAAAATTGGCTCTATTGGAGAACAGTTTTGATTCAGTCGCAGTTCAAATGGAACCTTGGATTGAGGCAAGAACTCATGGCTTTTTGGGGGTTTTTTGTATATATTTTATCTGATTCAGAAGTTCTTCGGATGTTAAAATCTCTTGCACAGAGAACCAAGTAAATATGATGCAAACGTAATGGCAGGTGTTGGGGAAATGATCGTTTCCTGGTTGTTAATAGCTGTTTCACGTGTTGTAACAGACGTTAGATTTAGTACACTGGATAGTTCACGTCTTTCTCTAATCCGCTGTAAGAATGCTTGAATTAGACATAAATTCGTCACAATGCAAGAACCAATGTTCACTTTAAGCCAACCCAACCGGGACAATTCCTTGGTTCCGAAGGATAGGAGCAAGACCAAGCTGATACATGGTTGAGGGGGCGAGATGGACCGAGTGGTTAGAGCGTGAATTTACTGATCGGAAGGTCTGTGATTCGAACCCGACCTCAACCCTCGATTTCCCTTGTCTAGGCTTGGACAACCTGGCAGTATCCCAGCCCTCGTGCCTCCTTCGTGTGGCATGGCAGTTAGGCGGCGAGAGGGTGCTACAGCTGAACTACACTCTGTTGATTGTCAGTCCGTTCTATCAGCCTTCTATCTCGATCACGTGACACTCTTCTGTACTCTGTGTGTTTGTCGTTGTTGTCTTACTGTCTACGCCGTTTCCCCCTGTACAATACTGCTTCGTTGAGGAGTGTCCATTTAGTGATATGCATAAATGCCTCAAAAGTCCCATTGTGGCAGTAGGTTACTCAGACCTCAAACTTCAGTGTTTTGATTCAATCAAGAAACGTTCACCCGTACTAGTTCGCTCTCGAATTGAATCTTTTGTGCCACACGACGTCCCCCGCCTCAAGGAGCGTTCAAACTCCGTGCCGTATACTAACTGTGGAGTGTCACCAAGTCTATGTAAAATGCTAATCACCGTCTCCGTTCTCATAGTCTCACCTCACCTGGCCCACAGATTTTATTGGTTTTGGTTTGGATATTGGCCGTCAATTGGTAGGTCGAGAATTCAACTAGCTTGCTTTCCAAAATGAAAAACACCCGACGTATCGGGAGCCCTGTTTTATCCTAGTTGTGTGCTATTAGAAGTTGGGCTATTCATCTATTCTGAGTACCTTTGAGTTTGTTCTGTTCCCATTTTACCATTCTGTCGCAGAGAATGAAAAACGGCTTCGGGTTGAATTTTCCCCGTTCAAGCGTGCTGAAGAAGACCGGTGAACTATTCACTATACGGTGCGTTTATGTGTTGCGATTTCATTGAGCACAAAACCCATTACAATGCTATCTCTCCTAATTAAAGTGGATTATCGAAACACCTTATTTCGCGCAGTAGTTTGATTTCGACAGGAAACTCAGTCGAATCTCTCGTTCACGGTGTTCTCGGTGAATGCGCCTACGTGATGGACCCCAACAAAGACTAAACCGACAATGAGCTGTCGAAAAGTTTTCAGCAACCTTGGGAGTAGTATGTTCCGTCAAGGAAACGGGATTTGTTTGGGCCGCCTGGTTTTACATGGCAAAATTCAATAGCTGGTGTGCTTCACAGACATCAACGTGTGACAAAGCTCCTTGCGGTGACCGAAGATTGCTCTTTGTTGCTTATATTATTCCCACTACTTCACCGCCATCCATGTGGCGTTTATCAATACATTAATCGTTTCACCCCGCGTTGTGGTCCAAGGTTAATTTGGCGCTTGTTTTTTGGTAACATCGTAAATAGCGGTGTTTAGGATACAGTTCCTTTTCTTGTTGGCGCTCGTAATGGGCAATCCTGTGTAGCTGGAGGGACACTGAGGTTAGACAAATCTGTGGGCAAAGTGGCCGAGTGTGAAATCCGATGCATTCGCGCGTGTGTTCTCTGCCAACGGGGATAAGTTGGTAAGTTCGGATGCAAGTGTTACATTGTTGGATGTAGTTCTTGGTGTATCAAGTTTTGGATAGAATGGAATAGAAGAGTTTTGTTAGAATAGACTATAATTCGAGAAGTCGCGTCAGCTGCTTGAATAGCTTGTTACTGCTCCGTGTAACGACCGCTACACCTCCCGGATGTGCGGTCTAAATCTTTGGAAGTCGCAGACACCCTCAGCTCTTCAGCGCATACTTGTAAGTAGCTCGGTCAAACAAGATGCAGTTTATGGAACATTATTCATGCGAATCCCATGGAACCTGGTGATCATGTTGCATCACGATGAATCTAAATATGTTCTTCTGGAGGTAATTACACTACATTGAGACAAACCGTCTATTTTACGATGACCATTCATTCTTTTGTAGTGTACGATTTTGTTTCATTTCGTTTTATTGCCAAGTTTCGTTTCTGTTGGTTTCCACAGGCATTTGTTGAATATTAGTACATCTATGATAGAAACCCCAGACTTTTACTGGGACCGCCCGGAGGTTGAATCGCTCTATACCCAACTACGCACCGTACTCAGCGTCCCCGCACGAACACGGGTAAGTTGACTTTGGTCCAGTGTGATGCTCAGTTTTTTCCACGGTCGTCTCTGAGGAAGATCCCAGGGCTGAATCCTAAACTAATAGTGACAAGACGTTGTTGATTCCGTTGGAAGATTGAAACCGCGATTGGTTTGCTCTCTAAGTAAAGCAGTTTGATTACAAACGTCCAATCTTCAGTCGTGTTCACAGCATTAGCACGTCCAGCTGTAGCACCCTTTCGGTGCCTAACTGCCATGCCACCCGAAGGTTGCACGAGGGCTGGGATACTGTCAGGTTGCCCAAGCCTATACGGGAGAAGTCGAGAGGCCGAGGTCGGGTTCGAACTACGAAATTTTCGTTCGGTAAATTCGCGCTCTAACCACTTGGGTCATCTCGCTCTCCATCAGCACGTCATTATAGGTTCAATGTCTGTGCAGTGCCCTCGAGCAAACTTCACTCTTTCAAAACATCAAAGCAACATGACGCATTCCGCATGGTTAGTTAGGATTGGTCACTTAGGGGTTAAGTTCTTGTGATGTGAGGTAAACCATGGACCTCATGTGGTATCCGAGGGAACGACACAACCTAAGAGACGGAATTGTATTGCCCAGCATCCTGACTGCCACAGGTGACCTTTGTCGGGAGTTAACTGTCTGTTCTGTTTCTCGACCACTCACGTCGAATCGGATCATCCCTCGCCTGATGATCAATAAATGAGGCGGTTTCGAAGTTTCATGGGCAACATTTTCAGAAGATATCAATCTTAAGCGGGATGAGATAACCACTGCCATTCATACGGCAGAAACTCAGCACGTGGTGCTTCTGAAGGCCCATCAAATGAGCCCATAAGTTTAGAATACCCGCTGCCATTCCTCGGTACAGGACGTCGTATCCCTTCAAACGTTAAGTCTAATTCAGCTCGAGAATAGCCTATGACCTGATGAGAAATCTTGATGGATTGAGGGAACTCCAGAAATAAAGAAACTCTTGCAGCTGGGACCCTCTTAAAACTGTTTTGCCTGATACACCTAACGGGACCGAGGAAGCTGACTGGGCTGAATATTTTGTGTAAAAATTTAGTTCCCATCTCTCATTCCAGCCGTGGTCTTTGAGTTTAGACGCTCTCTCATACATTGAGATGCGGAAGAACCGTCGTGTCGCACCAGCATTATTCACAGACGGTTGTGTTTGGCTCTGGTCAGTTTGTTTAAACTAATTTTGAGCACGTTTCAACAATCTGAAGCCAATTGGTCACTGTTCCCAAACCGACTGCTCCGAGCATACGCCTCACTCCGGTTGTAACGCGGATGCCGGCTTCAATAATGTTGTGGCGTCTGACCTCGTGATCCGAGACGCAAATCCAAAAGCACTGGGCAGGATTTCAACCATGTGGGGTGTATCTTCACTACATCATTTTACTTGTTTGAGCAGCGCCATGCATATCGCCGACCAACTGTGGCGCTCTCCTTAATTTCAGAGGAACTTTCAACTCTGTGGATAGACTGGATCTTCTATGTATGCTTCGCCTGAGAGAACTACTCTGGAGAGTGAGATAGTTGACTAGTTAATATGCGGACTTACTGACTGGAAGATCCGTTGTTCGAACCCATCCTCAGCATCTCGCCTGATCCTTCTAAGCTTGGACAACCTGGCAGGAGTTCAGCCCTCGTGCATCCTCCAGGTGGCATGGCAGCTATGCACCGAAAGGGTGTTACGAACGATCGCTCTGAAAGTTTGGTGATATCCCTTGTACTATTTACTATATCTGGCCACGTCAGGGTTTACATTGCGCTGTCTGAAAGTTCCCCACAACCAGGAGGTTTGCCAGTGTTGTCCTCTGTTCCCATTCCTCTCTCACCTTTGTCATGGAGTATACTGTGTAAGAGATCACGGATCTGGATTTCCAAATGAGGTCCGGAGAAAGATTGGTAGGCTTAGAGCATGACAATGACACCGTTCTGTTGTTTGACGATCGAGCCCTCACTATTCCAACCAAACTGTTGACAATGATCCCGTGTTTCGACTCGCAGTTCGTGTCTTCAAATCCCGAGGTCTTACTTCAGGGTTTCCCGATGTCATATGCCTTTTCGAAAATTCAGAATAGGGGGCTTGAGTTTGTTGATAGGTTTACTTGGTCTAGCAAGTGTAAAGTTTGTGACGGCCCTTTGGCAGACGACATCAGTGTACGAATCGCCAAGACAACGTGTCAACTTTGGTGTCAGAAACGAATGTCACTGAGATTAGATAGCCATGTTTGCAAAACGACCTCTGAGAGCTGTCCTCAGCTGTGGATATGAACCTCGGCTCCTTTTATCTGAAGGTCTCAAACGTCTCCAGGGGGCTGGTTACCAATGTCATGTTTGTTACGAAACGATCCAAAAGCGAGTACTAGGTAGCGTATCGTATTCGCCCGAGCAGCGGATACGGCTTTTCACGTTAGACTGTTTTGGATCAAAGAAGGCATCGTGTTTCACTCAAAGCATTTGTTGTTAGCGGAGGACAGGCCATGATGTGACATGATGGGAAGTGAAAGCTGGCGATATCGGTCTGAACTTTGTGAGATCACTGTGCTTCCTCGGCCGAGGCCCACCTGATTCTGCCTGTACGTGTTTGGAAACTTTACTGAACATGGTACAAAACTGATCCCAGAGGCTGGCTTGTCATCATTTTTTTGCCGAACTGCCGAGCTAACGCTTGTCTGTCGCTGTTTGGGCAAGGTTTGCAAAAGACTTTTGGATCCATCCCGCTGCTTGTGTTTCGCTTCACCAAGGTGCTCAACGTCCATGGTGTCGGAATATACGGACACCTCGCTGTTTGCCGTTTTCTCTAGGGATATGGGGTTTTTGGCAATAACTCTCCATTCCTCTCTTATCTTTCCACCTTTATCAAGTCATTCTTAAGTAAGTAGATATGTAAGTGGGGGGGGGGGAGATGGACCAAGTGGTTAGAGCGCGAATTTACTGACCGGAAGGTCCGTGGTTCGAACCGGACCTCTGCCTCTCGACTTCCCCTGTCTAGGCTTGGGCAACCTGACAGTATCCCAGCCCTCGTGCAACCTTCGGGTGGCATGGCAGTAAGGCACCGAAAGGGTGCTACAGCTGAACGGTATATTGTATGTATATATGTAAGTGAGTAAGCTAAATGTCAGTTCCACTATTGGTGGATTGCTGTCCTCATCACCCGTTCGAAATTAACTAACTAACGTTATGCGGTTCATTTGGGGCCAACGGTCCCAGTTTCTGTTTAGTTAGGAGGTCCAATCTGGACACATGCAAGAGGAACTGAGACTGAGGTCACTGTGTCTGCCTGATGCGGATGAACGTGAGCCGGACAACAGATAGGTGTTGTCTGTCTTTCCTACTTATGCAGCTGCACTTGGGGCGAATGGCTTCGCTCTCAGTGCGGCATTTTTGTGTGCGTCGACAGGATCAGTAATCATGGCGATGGGGCATGCAAGGCAGTGGCTGAATCTTTCTGAACACAAAGCATTTCTTGGTGGGAGTTACACGGGCACTTTGCATTTACTGACGCATATCTTTTGTTGTGTACGTTCTTTGAGCACGCAAAACGATTGTTCTGTAAACAAATAAACAATCCTCCAACCGCAACGCCCTTTTGGTACCTGGCTGTCGTACCATCCGAAGGAAGTGTAGGGACTGAGAGGCTGCCAGGTTTAGACAGGAGTAATCAAAATGCCGAGGTTGGGTTTGAACTACCTACCTTCTCATTTGAGCTGTCTTGAGCTCAATTTATCCCGTAATCACTGATGTCATCAGTGTGCTTATTGCTGCATTATGATCGCTTGCCTTATTCAGCTACTTTGCGGTTTTTCTGTGACCTCATCACATCGAATAGGCTATACTTGTAAATTACTGGGTTTGAGACCGTTCTAATCCAGATTACCGTCGTTTGAAGTCACATAGCGACTAGAAATTCAAGCACGATGTGATTACATGTACTGTCAAGTGTAAAAGGCATGTCAGGCTACTGCTTGTACAAATCAAATCGAACTCTTTTGGGTAGGCTAGAACAAACCGCATCCTTTACCTCCCAAGTTGGATGCGAGATGGTCCAAGTGGTTAGTGCGCGAATTTACTGACCGAAAGCTCCGACCTCTGTCTCTCGACTTCTCCTGCCTAGGTTTGGGCAACCTGGCAGTATCTGATCCCTCTTGCTTCCTTCTGGGGCATGGCAGTCAGCACCGAAAGGGTGCGATAGCTGAACGGTGGGACTTCCCAAGGTCCATTACCTTTTATCTATATACAGTATGCATGCCCTGCACTTCGTTGTTTGCCACTTTCATATACCCATGTCACAGCCTGTGTGCATCGTTATGGCCCCGTACTTTTCTATTCCTCAACACCTTTTCTCCTTTTAGGTTCTCAATTCCCGTTTGAACATGTGCTGCGAACTGACTGAAATCTTGTCCAATCATCTGCAATCCCGACATGCGTGCCGCCTGGAATGGATGATCATCCTCTTGATCCTGGTTGAGGTACCGTATTCTCTCGGTTCCGTCCAATTCTACCCTCTTTTCTCACATTTTAGGTCGCCTTTGAAGCATTCTACTACTATGAACGGCGTCAGGAGAAGAAACAACTATCGATTTCTACCTGATTCCCTTGATCAGGAAATTGTACAGCACCCCTAGAGGTTCTCTACTTCTCACGAATCCCACCGAGTACTGTAGCATCATTCAAGACATAAGAATCAACACTTTTCAACCAATTCCTTCGTTTTTTCTCATTCAACAGGGAAAGAAAGTTATCTGTGAGACTCCAGTGATAGCTTTGGTCGGTGTTATCCACAAAATGACTTCATTACCATTGCCTTTTGAAGCAGTCTTGTGTTCGACTGACTGAATTTGCTGTCGGCTGATTAAGTACGAAGCTGTGGTTGAGTCACCTTTTTGGCGTTTTTCCCCACATAAATGAATGAAGTTGCCAAGATCGGCGAACAGATCAACATACACCTGATCAATTACCAATGCGCAAAGTAAATAAATAATAAATCGTTCAGCTGTAACACCCTTCTGGTGCCTAGCTGCCATGCAACCCGGGAGAAGCATGAGGACTGAGATACTGCCCTGTTTCCCAAGCCTAGACAGGGGAAGTCGAGAGGCAGAGGTCGGGTTCGAACCACGGACCTTCCTGTCAGTAAATTGGCGCTCTCACCACTTGAGCCATCTCGCCCGCGAAGAAGTTCCTTATCGTAAGGTCCGTGATTCTGCGAAGTAGTTGCGACTGAAGTTCCTTATCGTAAGGTCCGTGATTCTAGTCCACTTCTCACGCATCAGTTGTATCGGCTACTACTTCCGATGCGCGGATATCTACCGCACCTACCTAAATCATCGATGGACGAAATCGTGGCAGCTACAACCGCTGTATGGCAAGTTGGCGCTTTTCACAGCCGGTGATGAAGCTCCAACGGACACTGTATGCAGAGCCACCATCCATGACAGTGCCTCTAACTACCTCACTTAGTTTATGATGAATGAGCCAACAGTGTCTCCAACCGAGGGTATTTAACAGGGTCATCGCGTATTTTCAAGTAGGCTTGGTTCCACCGGTGTATTCGGGACACAATGCTTACTTCCAGACGATCTTTATTTATCCTGATGACTGTTTCTGTTTTTCAGCCGTCGACCCCATCCAGTATCAGGCCTGTGCAGAATGTGCCAGAACCACTGTGAACTTCATTTGTGAGCGAGCCTTTAATGGTGTGACTGGGCGTTTGACATTGCTGTTGTGTACTGCAGCCTTCAATGTGCGTTGAAGTAGCTAGGTTTTGTGTGTGCATTTTGTCACCGGTATGTTCTGACCTCGCCGTAAGGTTTATTTCTGAGCGTTTCCACAGCGAAAGAGTACGTCAAAGCATGCTCAAATGTCATTGTTGCGTGTCTGATAAGCAATGAGAACAAGATGGTACCCTACCATAGCACGACGTAACTAGATAATGTTGTCCGATTGGCGACGGATGAAACTTGTGTCATGTACAAGAGGGTGACCGACGTCCACAGAGCTGTTCGTTGCGGAATGGCTATCTCGGGGGGTTGCGCAGGTAATACCACCTCGATTGTATCCACGAATGAAACTTGTGTAATGCACAAGAGGGTGACCGGCATCTACAGAGCTGTTCGTTGCAGAATGGCTATCTAGGGGGGGTGTTGATAGCTTGGGTTGCGCAGGTAATACCACCTCGATTGTCGATCAAAATCCAAACCTACAAGCTCAGTTTGGCGAACGGAACAGACGCCGCAGTCATGAATTATTGGTTTGTTCACTGAGGCGTCAGCACGATAAAGTATCACAAACTAACTGAACTAAACGTTTTAGCTCCCGGTGATTCCTTTTTTTACTTTGAAACATGGAATTATTATCGATTTGATGGATCCAATTCTGTTAGCTGGGTATTCGGGGAAGTCACCAGATTTCCGCAGTGGCCGGCAAGACTCAGGTTGTGGAGCTAAAACCAGGGAAATAAGTTGCTTTCTTGCTGGCATATTTCGCGGTGCTCTTTCAAAAGTGGACAAACTACCCAACCTGGGGTGCTACTTTAAAAGGGCAGTTTTGAACAATGGTTCTATGGGAACGGTTTGAATGAGGCAAAATTTATGAACACACCTATATTGGCTACTTAGGTGGAGTGGGATTTTACTGACATACAGAAGATTTTGCACAAGAACGTTCGACTGAAGATAAACTTCCGCATACTAAATTTTATTTTCGTCAGGATATGACCAGTGTATTTCATTCGTCGAGAAACGCCAACAGGCTGCTCAACGGTAGCACGTGGAACGATGGGTTGCATCCTCGAGCGAGTCTTGAACTTCTATGCTCACTGACGAATTCAGCTGATGCTACGTGACCTATTGTATGAAAATCTACGCCACAGTATTCACTCTAAACTTCTAAATAGCCGTCATTAGGATATTCCGCAGTTGGCCAGTTATACATTTCAGTAGATTGTTTCAGCTTCGTTTTTTGTGCAGCTCAACCGGTGGTTCACTCTCGAAGGGTGGTACTTCAACCAATTTTCAGTCGTTCTTGATTACTCCGTACTAATCAGTGAATAGCCTCAAATCACGTTCATTTTTGGCATATCGGAAAGTGTCTATGTGGGACGATTCCACCCAGGCTAATGTGTTCACACTATTCACAAACAAATTCACCTAGAAGTCCTCGATGCCGCACCCAGAGAACGTGGACAAGACGGCTGTGTGTACCGATAGGTCACTGAGGTTTGACTGTCTTTCAGAGCGAAATGCAGTTTAGCGTTGTCAAACAAGGATAGTTATCGTCAATCCGATCCACTCAGTCCAACTGCTGGTGAGAAATGTGGCTGAGTGGCACATATTGAGAATGATCGATCAAATCACACGAAGGACTTCTATAATGCAATTACCTGGGTGTACATGGTGAAGCCTCATAGCTGAGAGAGGTTATCGCATCGATTCAAGAGCAGTTTTGTTCTTTTCGGACCGAAGAATTAAAGGCGTACAAAATTTTAGGAAACGTACAGGAGTGACTGATAGGCGATACATATAAATCAATAAACTGTGACCAAAGGTACCGAGTGCAGAAGGCGGAAAATTTGCGGTCACCGGTGATAACCAGTGCGGGCATCTGTGATACATCATTAAGTTTCTATAATCCAGGTTGCTTGGGTTATCGGAGGCTGAAAAATAAAAACCTGATATGTCACGCTATTTAGAGACTACACTAACTAGACCTTTTGAGATCTACTTTCTAGAAAATCTAAATCCTTGCACAGTTGAAACTGCACATGTTAAGCATCTTGAATTGTAAAGAGAATAAGTTCTCGGATCGAAATTGCCTGACTCTCAAGCTTGGTGGCGAAAAGCTGTGCTGACTCAAGTGCAACAAAATCGTAATTTACGGAATGCCTACAGATTGTTGTGGAATGTGGCACGATAAACTGGGAATGCCAAAACTATCAAGTTCGAAATAAATTAGTTTGTCATTGGCTTGTTCGCTGAGCTGGGCCTACGCACTGATGATGTCACCTCGATTGGTGATGAAACGTTTGCAACCAAATTGCCCAGCTCAGCGAACAAGCCAATGACAAACTAATTTATTTCGAACTTGATAGTTTTGGCATTCCCAGTTTATCGTGCCAAGTTTGATTACCGCTTACATAAACCAACGTTACCGACTAGGTACAGTTAGACGAAGGCTCGCTTACCAACATCTTAGTAGGTCTAAATCTTCTAAGAATCCCCTCGTTTGGAAAGTCACTTGTGCAGACATTTGCACATTTTGAACAAACTACTTTCATTTACGGTACCATGTGCAGTAAACTCCTTCTGAAGATCCTGAAATCTCCCGTGGCGAGTGAGTTGCGACTCGAAATTTTTCGTTCGATAATCCGGCGTGGGTATTGATTTTCCGTCTTGTCTTACCAAAGGAATACTTCCATCAGCTGTGAGCATTGCTCAGGCATTATAGACAGCACTGGCCTTCCTCACGCAGTGCTTTCAGGACTATCGATTTTGCAGCTCGACCAACTGAACACCACTTTCAGTCGTGAGCGAAAATCTCGTGTCAAAGCCTGATTGACTTGGATGAACAAATTTCATCACAGACTGTGAAAGCAAGCGCAACTGAAGTAAGTCATCGTGTGGTTTGGTGCATTCAGCCGATCTTTCGAAAAGAAACGTTATCACCGATATGCAAGGAGTGTATTGGATTTTGTGGGCAGCTTTGTCCATTTCATGTTCCGCCTGGCCACAACAATTCACCTTATTGACGGGAATGGCTGACTTTTCGGGTGGCCTGATTCACCCACTGTCTGCCAATAGCTATGCTCCAGCAACCGGATCGCAGGTCACAGAAACCGAAACGACAGATGACACACATGTTGAAGTCATGCATCTAACCACAGCTTCGTACAAGGGTCTGAACTATGTCATGGTGACTAACCTGTCCCTCCCGTTTGCCCAAGCTGAACATTACTGCGCTCACGAATTTTCCGAACCGATGCACTTGGTTTCAGTGGGTTCCGAAAATGAATGGGTAAGTTATCCATACGTGTACGTTGGCGTGCTCGCCTCCGTAGACCGCTAGAGTTGTGCAAGACTTGATATCCGGTAGATGTGAGATATGTAGCCTAATTCACGTCGTCCTATAGCCATGTTAACTCAAGTACAACACTCTGTTGTGACCTACTTAAGTAGGTGCAAGTAGGAAAGAAACTGAACAAACATATAAATGAAAGTTTGACAGTCAGGAGAGGGCGACAGCCGTGAAACGGTAATGGAGTCGCGTGAAGTGGCGAAGGCTTATGTAATCTTACACTGCTCATCAATCCTATTTAGATTGCTAAATCCAAGGCCACCTTGCAATTATCTAGTCAACTTTCAAAAGTATCGTTTCGTTTTTGAGGACATTTCGCAAGGTCATTGAATAGTGCGATGCAGAATTTCGCGTTGTATGTTCTTGTGTGGTTTCACGTTTTGCAAGTTTGAGCAACGTTGGTCCAGGTCTGCGTGATCTACGCGTATTACTCCGGTTCTGTACCTAACTTATTGACTTAGCGAGTACTAAACTGGACTACTGTTTTTCCTTCTTCAGAAAATGTTGTCAAACGTGTTCAGGAGTCATCCCAAAACCACCAAAGTTTGGCTTGGAGGGACTGTAGAAAGATCTAGTCCAAACACGCTCCTCGTCCGGTGGATTAATGGGCAACAATTTGGATACCATCGTTTCTCTGAAGCCGAGAGAAAGCGTTGGCGTAAAGAATGGAAACAGAAAGGTCAAGCGTGCATAGTTGCGGAGCTACAAGAAGGTGGGGTTGGAAACTGGGCGGTGGAGCTGGCTCCCTGCAGTTTGCCACGCTCGTTCATTTGCAAGGAAGAGGAAAACCGTGACCACTCAACAGGAGTGGATGGAACGCTCATGCCTTTTCAACCATTTCGTCTAGGTGACCTAATTCGCTCGCTGTTCCTCCCGTCACCATTCTTGCCAACCACGACGACCCGAAGTTTTACCAGCCTAGTCCGTAATCCACCTGCCCAAAACCGTGTTCAGTTTCAAGCCTACAACACGCAACCGACAACACAGAACGTAACGCAAAGTACTCTGACAACTCCAACTACTGAACCTTCTACTGAAACCTCGTCTACCTCGACGACAACCGACCTGGCTGTTGAAACTGTCACAAACACCAAATCCTCCCCAACTACCACGACAGAAGTGACGACAGTGCCAACAACGGCTTACAGCGGTACAACAGGTTCGACCAAGTCTGAAAGCGATAGCGTTGTTCTCCGGGAAGGTATTGTTGAATCAGTGTCGCCCAGCTCAACTACAGCAGAGCTGCCTGGCCCTGTCCAGACTGATAATCTTTCAGGACCGGAGATTCATCCAAAATTCACCATATTCAGCTCCACGCCAAATGGCGTCGCCTCCTCAGAGCATGGCGTTCCACTGCCACAGAGGAAAACAGAACCCCAAGCGTTTATACCAGACGTCGGTGCACAAGTGATTTATCCAAGATCTCCTTGGGACATCACGTATTTGGACGAACCTCAGTGGTTAACTCGAAAGCAAAGTTAGACGCATGGTTTCATGCCTTCGTGTAATATCTCCTTGTTCTATTGGTAACAAAATGTTTTGATAGCCGAAAACATTGTTAAAATTCTGTTCTGGGTCGCCAGTCGGGCTGTCGCTATAGTGACACTCCAGTCTAACAAGTAGGAGCTAAGAAATCGATTTCGGCTCCCTGACTCGTAGATGTGTTCGGTTAATTTCATGGCCAGCTAATTCGAAACCTGTTGGGCCATTGGAAACAAAGCTAGAATAGGTCATCACTTGGTCCACACTAGCTTTTGGTGAACTTGGGTAGCTCAGTCGATAAGGCACCAGCTTACTGACAGAGAGGCTCGTCGTTCGAACCTGACAGTACCTCAGCCCCCTTTGCTTCCTTCGGGTGGCATGACGGTTAGGCGTAGCTGGTGTAGTAGTTGAGTGATTATATTTGTCATATAATTAGCCTTTGGTGAAATGCTTCGACTCATCAAACACCGAAAATCCTTCAGTCAGCTCCTGAATGAATCCTGATTAGTATCCCTGTTGAGCGTGAAATCCATTTAATCCTCCTCTGCAAACAAAACTAGGTGATAAGTTCTACAGACATCCAACAACAATCTTAGTATTTACCATAAACGGTCTTTCCTTTATGGAATGCAATGTTTGACCTGAAGGCGTTTACTCAGGAAGTGCATCATGAACATGCCACTAATAGGGGGGTAGTCGAGTGCTCCTCATAACTGTTCCCTGGGGACGGAATTTACTGGAGCTCTCTAGCCACCGCATCTCATCTATCCCATGGGAAATCCCCCTCAGCTTCACGAGTGATAACCAGGGTGGGGGGTCGGCTTTCTGTACAGCGGTTGACTAAATAGGTGGGCTTAGTTTGACGACTTTGTTTTCCTCAAGGGAGTAAAGTTTGTGTAGCTTCTCGTCCTCTGGGAACCGTTTTCACTTTGAAAGACAGCTTGATTGAGTTAGGTTTATGCCACACTCCGTTTGCCTAGAATTGTATCTGGTAGATGTGACGTGTGTGCTTAATAGGGGGTGTTTTGCCCTCAGGTCACTAGTACGCCGGATGAATAGGCGTTTCTATTGGCTGAAAAAGCGTCACTGCACGAAGCCTATAATGGGCGGAGGGGTATCCATTCAATAGAACGTCTGCAAATTGGCTTGTGGCTCCGTTGAATTGTTCATGTTCACGGTAAACTAATTGGTGTGAACAATGATTTCAATCAGGGTTCGAATGTTCTTCAACGAAATATATGGTACTAAAGGTTAGGGTGGCAACTAAAGGCTACTTTAATGAGAATAGCGCTGTAAATTTCCTGGTATTCATACTGTCCGAAACTTTGTCGCGAAGTTTTATGTGGAATTAATGTTATTCCCAATTGCACAATGCGTGTGAAGTTTATGATATGAACAAGGAAAATGAAAAAGTGATTACTGATCCCAGTGACGGTGCTAGTAGATTGCTTGACACACTTTTCAACACTGTCGAGTTCATTCGAGACGGCACGACTAAGGAAATATGTTGAAACCATTGCACTGGATTAATCCACAAGGTTATGGCAACCGACTGCACACCACCTGCCCTGATCTAACGGTACCTGAAGGTCGCTTAATGTCCACTCGCCACGAATGATTGATCAACAGCTTACGACTGGAGGGGCACAGCGAACTCCCCTGCTTCTCAGATCTGCATCACGGGATCCTCGGAAATGAAGTGATTGGGGCTAAACATTTCAAATAACTCCAAATATTCCCCTCTGTTTAGTGCAGCTTCATCAAAGTCCGAAGACGGGCACCCGATACTCAAAGTGCTGTATATAGCCAAAAACGTCACCTCGAACACCGAACTGGTGTAACGGTGATACTACTGATCGGGAGGCACTCGAGTAGAATTTCGCTTTGCGTCGATTGAAAAATAAAATTCTGTTGCGGAATTCGCGGGGCCACTTTGTAACATTTGCTTGCATTTGACCGACGAATGATTGGAGGCAATGAATCTCCAGGAAGACTCGTTCGGGAGAAGATCTGTGTCCAGTTTTTGTAGCTAAGATGCAGATTAGAGTTTTGCTTCCCCGTTCAATGGTCTGTAACCGGTCAGTTGGCCATTTTCGAAGGGTAACTCCGCAGCGAAGGCCTTCTTCCTTTCACTGGTAGCTCCGCGAACCAATCAAGAAAAACCACTGGCTTGTTCTCGGGGACTGCGCCTACCTGATAAGCCCCACAGGAAGGGCGAAACCGGTCGTGGGCTGTCGAAGGGTCTTCAACAACCTTATGACTACGGTGTTACGTCTATACAATGGTTGCATCCAACTCCTCTACTATGATGGCCTGACCAGAAGGGTTAGTTAGCTCCAAATTTCAAAGCTTCAACTACCTTCATAAGGAGACAACTATAACAGTGAACTCGTGTATCTTCCCTGGTCTTTAGGACAGCGTTACACACCTTCAAGACTGAATGAACTCCTAACTGTTTGGGACGATACTAGTGTGACGGTGTATACTGATAATAAAGCATGCGAGTAGTGTACGGTCCGTCTAAGCTGCGTCCCGCATCTGATGCAAGGTGAAGGTTACCACGGAATTACGGAGCCGTTTTTTAGTGTTCGTTTACTATTGTTTAATATCAAAAGAACGTCCAAAAACAGGACGCTTGAAAATGTACAGTTTTCATAAACTCTGTGCAGATGAGATATCTACTTTCGTACCTAATGGCTTGTAACCGCTTAGTTCTTGTTACCTTATAAACAGCGAACAGTGATCTCCCTTTCACAAGTACAGCCCTCTCTAAATGGATTTCGGAACCACCAGCGAAGGATGTTCGTTCGCTCAACGAACAAAAACTGAAGGGTTTCAGAAGAGCTTGGTAGACAATCGGTAGTTTCTATTTGGGCAACGTTTCAATTTTGACACAAAAGCTTCATCAGGCCAAGTGAACAGGTCACCAAATTGGCCACGTTATAAGACAGACGGAGAACCAATCAGTAAGTCCTCTTCAAACTAGATCAGTGTGAGTGTCAATTAACGGCTCTTGTCGGCTAGTGTGGGTGCCAATACCTTGAATTGATGGGTTGGAGGGGCTCCAAATTAGTTCCGATCGCTTTTCGTTCCTTAATCATCCAATTCAGGGTGCTTCACTTGATGATTCACCTCGGGTGCTGCTGTTAGATTTGCCCTGGTCTTTGTGGGGTTGTGAGTGCTCCGACAATTTAGTTTGAGGGGGTTGAGGTCAGGTGGATTTCAGATAACCGCACACCAACACGTGTCAGCTCGAGCGATCCAAGACCGTTCTCCACACGCTAGCCAGCTCCACGCCCTCCATTCTGTTAATGCTGGAATGCTTGGCGATTTCTACCGCCTCGGCGATCAGTCTGTGTGACGTGGACCTTAGTCCTCGCCTCAAAACCTCAACATTTTCTAAATCTATTTTGTGTCCCGTGTCGAGTGCGTGTTCCGCAATTGCCCAGTCTTTCAGTAACGCTTGATATTCATCTGCGTTTCTCGGCGGCCTGTTTATTTTTCTACTATGCTTTCCGACTCTGATGTGTAGTTCCCTGGCCGTCTCTCCTATATAGACCTTGGTGCAATCATTACACTTAATTTTGTAGACACAGTCCCTGGTTCTGTTTGCCGGGAGGCGATCCTTCAATTGCACCAGTGCAGAGCGCAGTGCTCCCCTTCTGGAAAGCTTCTCTTATATTAGCCGTGTTTAGAAGGGTTTGTGCAGGGAACACGTTTATATTGGGGTGAGAACGAATGCCCAAAGTAATAAACGGACCTTACTGAAAGATAATGACTTCAAAGGTCAATAGCAGTCGATACTTGACGAAATCTAAAGCCAGTCAACACGCGATCACGTGACATGGACGAGTGGCGCTCTATCCTGTCCACGTGCGAGTAAATTGTTCAAACTGGGAGGTTTCAGGTTCGAAACTCCCTGAAATTTCATGATTTCCCCACTGATTATGATTCCCAACAAGAATGAAACAGCTGTACAGTGCTTCTTAGCTTTTCAGCATTGACTGAATTCACTTGAAGGACAAAAACCCAATTAAAAATTACCAAATCTCCTCACACTATTGGTAAAATATACCTCAGTTAGCCCCGAAAACAAATTTTCATCGCGATCATGTATTGGAAAACAATAATTGCCGAACCAGAGCAAAAACCGTGGTACGATTCTTCAAGAGTCTGTAGAATGTGACTGTACTGTACAAAAGCCAAACTCACAAATCTGGTTCCAGAATGATGTGGGTGCGCACAGCTAATAAATGCCCCCCAAAAGCCGAAGGAACTAGACTAGATCTGTCAGCTGTACAAACAAGCGACCCATACCATAAATAACAATGCCAACAAGAAGCGCGTTGGCCAAACAAACCAGTTCTGCAAACAGATCATCCCAAGTTTCAATCCGGCCGAACAAAAGAGACAAACAAAAACGCAGGAGACCACTTCGTTTTCGGTAGCTCCTCCGTGATTTGCGTCGTCGAGTGACAAAGGTTCCGCAAACAGTTGACGGACGCTTTCTTTTCAACCGACTGACGCTTGTGATCTCACTGGCATCGCTGGCATCCGAACCGTCTGATCGAAGCAGGGGGAGTGTATTTGAAGCAGACAAAGCTGGACAAGAATAAAATGATTCGATTTTTGTGGAAGGGGTCAGTGTAGTGCAAAAGGACGCCGTCGACCGAGGAGACCAGGCTGGAGGACAGCTGAAGACGGACGGTCGAAAAAGTGGTTTGTCGGTTGACACTCGAAGTCTCGTACCAAACTCTTCCAGCGGGTCAGAATTGCGAACACAATGGTAAGCAGGATGAGCGGATCGAGTGGAAAAATTGCAGTGGCTGTTGGCTAGTTGAGATCTATTCGTACAACTGTCGTAAGAGCTGCCACTCGGCCACGATTCTATTAGAACCTGCTTCTGAGCCTTCCAGTCACTGGAACAAAATCTGATCCAAGTGACCAGGCTAGAACAGACACCGAAGAGTAACGGTATCGCCATGAAGGCTACGACTGCATACCCGCAGAAACGCATGGATAGATTGTGATCAGCTGTGGTCTCAGTATTGAGAGTGGTTTGGAGAATA